AAAAAAAAAAAAATGTTATATAACTGTAGAGCGGTTCAAATAAACTGGGTCCGTTGAACCGACGGCTTAAAACTTAGGTGTATTCCTATAGAAAAACCAACGATTTTGTGCTTTACAGTCATTAACGTTTCATAGGTACTCCCCCACCGTTCTCCACCCGCCGCCCACAGCCGCCACCTTTTCTCCGGCACCTCATTGTCCTCCTCGCCGTGTTAGAAAACACAATTCCTTTACCCTGACGATAATTCATCTACCTGTGTCTGAAAAAAGGTTGAAAAGAGATGTTTTTCCTGAGCAAATTTGAGCACACTCTGAGGTTGCCTCCACATCTCCTCAACCTACCCACCGACAAGGCCATTAGAGGAGAGCTCGAGTCTCTCTTCTTAGACAAGGTTTTGTTACCCAACTCCTCGTTTTCGTACAATTTGATCTCCCCTCAATGATAATCAACTTTTTCTCAGGTTATTCAAGATCTAGGGTTGTGCGTCAGCCTGTACGATATTCAATACATAAACGGTGGTTCTGTGTATCCCGGCGATGGCGCCTCCACTCACACGGTAGGCTGTTCAAAATAATCGTTCATTGCTCACTTTGTTGTTGCCTTCAATTTGCTTGCCGTGCTTATGACAGCCTCGGTAATGGTGTCTGAAAACTTGAAGCTTGTGAGAATGTGAATTTGTTTCGTCTGATGTCAGGTGGTGTTCAGGCTGGTAATGTTCCGGCCATTTGTGGGAGAGGTTATATCGGCTCGACTTATGGAATCGACAAAGGACGGTTTACGATGTATGGCACATTCTGCTTGCTTGTGTTCGAGTTTCCTTTTGGTTTTATTCGATTTCCTTTTGCAGTATGAGTGTGATCATTTTTCTCCAAGTGTTTTGTGTTATTTAATGGATTGGTATTGTGTTGTTTGTTTGAGGGTGTTAATGTCCTAATTTTATATCTGATTCAGTTTTCTATTCCGAAGATCGAACTTGCTACTTTGAATTGGTTCGAAGGAGATATTTGATTCTTGAATTTGTTATTCTGAATTGGGGCATTAGCGTTTTTACATTGATTAGTGGATGACCCCGTTTTTATAAGATACTAAAGGATGTTTCAGTATTTCCCTTTTTTAAACATTACTGTTAAATCGAGTGACGGTTCAAGTTTTTGCATATATGAGAAATCTTTTGCCATAATCAAGATTAAATTGCTTGTATCGATCAACCGAGAAAAGAAAAATTGTTTACAGTCCGCAATATATTATAGTTATTCCTGTGATATTGCAAAGAAAAATTGTTTCCAGTCCTCAAGTTATTATAGTTATTACTGTGACATTGTCATGCCAGTTATTATTATTCACATGCTGAATTAATCAGATTGTTTAATATAGTTAGCAATTAATTTAAGTACTTTTTGCAAACCTAATCATAGTTGCCAAAAGTATTAACTTATACATATAAAATCCCTCTCCTTATTTTTGGCAGTGTCACTTGGATTTTTTGAGGACGTCTATGTACCTGTCCCCTGCCTGAACAGTCCCAATCACTCTGAACCCGACCCAACCATTAAGTGAGTATCTAAGTTATCATCAAATTTCTGTTAATTACACTACAAAAAAATGATGAAAATTCTGTCCGAGAATTTCAACATAAATATATTCTAGTGGATATTCCTATGCTATTATTTCTGTTGGAAATTTTCAATGGATTCGAACGGAAGTTCCAACAAAAATATTCCGTTCCGTTGGAATGAGTTTTCTATTGGAATTTCCGTTGGATTTTGATGATTCTAACAGTAGATTTTCTACGGTTAAAATATGGGTGGAAATAGAAATTCCAACAAAAATTGCAAATTCTAAAGGAGGTTCTTATGGTAAAAACTCGTTGGAAAAATAACTGTTGGAATCCTGAAATTCAATACAAAATTTCAATGGAAAACTCCATTTCAATGGAATATTTTCCTCGGAAAGCTATAATGCAATTTTTATTGGAATATATTACCGTAGAAACATTTTCTTCTTTGGTATGTGACTTCTCGTAAATTCTTTTCTGTCGTCTCTCTCAGGGGTGGTGTTAAATGGGTTTGGGAATACGAGGGAGAAAACTATCCGATAGACGGGGAAGATAAGGTTGTTGTTTGTCCTTCGCGATTTTATTTAATGGTTTCGGATTTTTTTTTCTTTTTTTTTTCTTTTTTTTTTTTTTT